CGTGCCCCCACCCCATCCCCCACCCTCGCTGCAAGGACCAAGAGCTCTGTTACAGCAGGGGGGACACTGGGATGTCTCTGAGGGTAAGAATGGCCTGTAATCTGTATCCTACAGGGAGAAAATCCCATAAGACACGAGGGGGAAGTTTAAAAAGATGCCATACTCATGACCGGTGGAAAAGTCCCAGCCCCTTGGCCACACCAGTGAAGGAGTAAAAGCTGTCCTGTTTTTTTATGTCCTCTTTATTGGAGCTGTCACTCCTTTAGCTCCTCGAGCCAAATTCCCTTCTCTGTTTTTTCTTATGTCCTAATCCTGCCTAAGAAACCTGCCCATTCTTCTCACTGAAATCCTCTTCCTCTTATGAAAGTCAGCAAGCCTGTCAGGGGCAGGCAGGTCGGGGATCTCCTCAGACCACATCCAGTGACATGCAGGTTTCATGCTCTCTACCCCAGTGGGGCAAAAGAAGCCTTGTCTGATGGTATCAGAATGGCCCTTCTTCTTGCCGCGCTTCACTCTGCCGGGGCGAGGTTGCAAAGGGAGAGTAAGGGATTATTGTGGTCAGTGTTTAAAATTTTGGACATTTACCTGGGCGTGGTGGCATAGGCCTTGCCTGTACTATCAGCACTCTGGGAGACTGAGGCAGGTGGATTGAAAGTTCAACCCTGAGGCCATAATGTTAAGTGAAATAAATCAGACACACAGCTTCACTATCTCATGGTTTCTTATATAGGAGAGACTCAAAATAGAAATAAATCAAAGAGCAAAATAAAAGAGAGATAATAGGGAAAAACAGATCCTAGGAAAAAGTGAGATAGATCTTTTGCAAATGGGAAGGGGTCCCAGAGATAGAGGGGAAGGGAAGGAAAGGGGACATAAAAAGCATGAAGATGTGCTGTGTACCTGCAGCAGCTCCCCACAGTGAATGTAATCATCATGTACTACAAACATGTATTAATAAAAATAATTTTTTTTTTTTAAAAAAAAGTAAGTTTGAGCCTAGCCTGGGCAACTTAGTGGCTTAGTGAGATCCTGTCTCAAAATAAAAAAATAAAAAAGAGGCTGGGGTTGTAGCTCGGTGCAAAGCCCTGAGTTCAATCCCCAGGACCACACAATAAAGGGGCGGTGGCGTGTAATGGTCCACAGCGCTGAGGACGTGGCTTTTCCAGTACGCGCTCGGTTTGTCCTTTTCTCTCCACCAGCATCAGTTAGCACAGATCACTTCGTGACTCCAGAGGTGTGGGGGCCTCCCCTGCCGCACCAGCACACACGCAGCTCGTGCAGCAGTGGGCCCCACTGGGTGTCCTCTAACCCAGGTCGGGTCTGCTGCTGCCCACCTAGAGGGCGCAGCACACCCCGCAGGTTGAGGGCTGGGCGCCCAAGGCTGCCCCTTCCCCGTCTAAGACACCAGTCACAGCCCAGCCTGTTTTACCCGCGCCTTCTCCGCACTGGCCACAAACATGGGCTCCCACGGTCCTCCGCTTCGCATTTGATTAGGTTGCTAGGGCAGCTTATAGAAGTCAGAGAAACGTGTATCGGTTTACTTATAAAGGAATCAGTATTTATGAAGACACAGATATGCAGGGGATGAGACACACAAGGATGAGGTCTGGAAGGGTCCCACGTCCCCGTGGAGCTGGCACATGGATCTGTTCTCCTTCGCCTTCTTGGAAGCTCCCACATGGTTCCACTGTTTGCAAGCTCCCCAAACCCAGTCTTTCTGGGTTTTACGGCAGCTTCATCACATGGGCATGGCGGATTAAATGCCCGTTGGTGGTCCCTTTGACCAGCAGCCTCTCTACCCTGCCCACAGGTGGAGGATGGGGCTCAAAGTCTCTACCCTCTCTGCCCTGCCGGTTCCCATGGTAACCAGCCCCCACATCATGTGGCTGTCTAGGGACTTGCCCAAATCCCTTCATTAAGCCAAACTCAGTGTTCTTTGAAAGGGTTTGTAAATAATAAAAGAAGAAGGAGGGGTATGAGTTGGTGGGGTAGGGAGTCAGCCCACACCTGTAATCCCAGCACTTGGAAGGTTGAGGCAGGAGGATCACTGTGAGTTCGAGGACAGCTGAGTTCAAGGCCAGCCTGAACTGCATAGCAAAACCCTGTCGCCAAATAAATAAATAAATAAATAAAAGTAGTAAATAATAAAAGATGGTGCTTTTTACCTTTATTGCTCTGACGCTTTTCTGGAGCTGCTTCAGGAACCAAGGACTGAAGGCCAAGTAATTAAACAAAAGATACAATTACTGCTCTAGTCGCTTAGGGAATATCAAGGGTACAGAAGCTGTGGGCCAGCACAAAACTCAGAAACTACCACATGACTAGTGTGTCACTGTGGCTTTATTTTGCATGTCTTTAATAATAACTAATGGTGTTAAGCATTTTTGATACGCTTTTTTAACAAAATCATCTGTGTATTTTCTTTAGTGAAATATCTGTTCAAGTCTTGCCCATTTTCTAAAATCGAGTCTTTTGTTTTCCTATCATTGTATTCTGAGAGCTCTTTATTCTGGATACGGATCCTTCATCAAATATGTGATTTGCAAATATTTTCTCTTGATCTGTGGCTTGACTTTTCATTCTCTTTCAGAGATAACTTTCAAAGTTACTAATATTTATGAAATCCGATTCACCAATTTTTTTCTTTCATAGAAAAATACATGCTGTCAGTATCATACCTGAGAAATCTATGCCTACCTCAAGTATACAAACATTTTTTCCTATATTTTCTTCCGGTAGTCGGTGTTGGGCTTTACATTTAGTTCTATGATCCATTCAGAGTGTAAGTTTCCATATGGCATGGAAGTCATGGATCCAAGTTCATTTGTTTTTCTTCTTTGTGTATAGATATTTAATTTGCCGAGCACACTTTGCTGAAAAGGCTGTTGTATTAGCCGTCTATTGCTGTGTAACAAACTGCACCAAGATTTAGTGGGCTTTGTGTGTGTGTGTATACGCCAGGGCTTAAACCCAAGGCGGCCTGCATGGTAGGCAAGGGCTGTACTACTCAGCTATACCCTCAGCCCAGTGTAGTATGTATATACGTTTGTGTATGTATATATGTACTATGTGTCGTTAGAGTTGAGGCAGGGGCTTGCTGCGTACCTCAGGTTGGCCTTGACCTCACTGTCTAATCTTGGCTGGCCTCGAAATCACAGTGATCTCCTGACTCAGCCTCCTGAGTACTGAGATTACAGGTGTGTGCCACCACACAAGCCCAATGTAGTATCTAAAACATAAAACAAGTATTTTTTTATCCTACATCTCACTGCTGCATTTTTCTTTTTAATTTTTTTCTTTTTGTTTGATTTTGATTATTTTCTCCTGTCTTTGTGCTTGATCTCACTGATCTTTTCTTCTACAATGTGTGATCTGCTGTCAATTTCCTCCAATATATTTTAAATCTCTGATATTGTCATTTTATCTTCTCAAGGTCAGGTCTTTTTTTTTTTATAAGGCTCTACTTAGTCTTTTTGAACATATAAAATACAGTTAAATTAGCTCCCTTACTGTCTTTTCCTGCTAATTCTCACATACATATTCGATGGGGTTACAGCTGATTCTTTTCTTTATTACACGCCATGTTTTTCTGTTCCTTTATTTCCCTGTTACCCTCGAGTACCAGACATTGTATTTCTGTTTCTTTCTCTCTCTTTCTTTTCTTTCTTTCTTTCTTTCTTTCTTTCTTTCTTTCTTTCTTTCTTTCTTTCTTTTCTTTCTTTCTTTCTTTCTTTCTTTCTTTCTCTTTCTTTCTTTCTTTCTCTTTCTTTCTTTCTCTCTCTCTTTCTTTCTTTCTTTCTTTCTTTCTTTCTTTCTTTCTTTCTTTCTTTCTTTTTGAGACAGGGTCTCACTATACAGTTCAGGCTGGCCTTGAGCTTACTTTGTAGCCCAGGCTGGTCTTGAACTCACAACAATCCTCCTGCCTCAGCCTCCTGAGTGCTGGGATTACAGGCCTTCGCTACCACGCCCGGCCAGAAATTGTATTTCTATAAATCCTCTTGACCTTTGTTCTGGGATGCAGTTAAGTGACCGGGAAGCACTTTGATCTTTGGAGGCTTGATCTGTCGGGAAGGTCTGGAGCCTGCTTGGCTAGGATTCATGATTCCTACTCGGGAAGCCAGACCTTTCTGAATTCTGGTCCGGGTCCCATGTGTGATGTTTTTCCGCATCTGCTGGGAACAGGCGCTGTCTCGTGCCGCGTGTAAGCCTCTGCCCTGTTGCACTAACGCTTTGGACATCTCTCTCCTTCTAGCCTCGGATGCTTTCCTTGTGCACGTGTGCTGAGGAGCCTTCTGCAGAACACGCCGGCCCCTTGCGCACCCCTCCCGGCTTCTCCAGCAGCTCCCTCCGCCTGCTGCTCCCTCTGGAAGGTGCTCTCTGCCTGGTGTCCTGCTCTCAGCTCAGTCCTTGCAGCTCGGGAGGTCTGCATGGCTGCTCCGGGTCCTCCTGCCTGTGCGGCAGACCTGTACACTCCCCAGGCAGCGGCTGAGTCTGTTCTTTTGTTTCCTTTGGCTTTTTTAGGCAGGAGGTTAAATCTGTTACAGTTTTCCCTGTAACATACTTCTGGCTAATTCCACCTGTTAAACTTTGATGTCTTTTTTATGTCACTTTTCTCCATTCTGATCTGTCATCTTAACAAAAATACCATTTGAGGTACAGGCTTTGAGAGCTGACTGCCTTGCTTAGAGACTTGGCTCTCTCTTATTGATAAAATCTTTTGTTGTTTCTTTTTTTCTCTTTTTAAAATTAAAAACAATTTTTTTTGACTAGGAAATCTTAGTCATTTAATTTCGATGTGAATGGGATACAGTACTGTTGATCCTTATGGTCAGTGTGAGATCAGCAGAGGCTGGGGTGTGACACTGGTGCCCACACGTGGCCTGTGGGCACGGGGCAGATGTTCAGGAAACACCGTGGTTCAGAAGGGACGCCTCAAGGGGCTCAGCCTTCAGCGCGGACGTCCCCATCTCTCCATCTCAATGGGATGTTTCTGTCCCCAGATCTGCGCTGGCTGCGGTCATTTTGGCAACGACGCTGACTGGGAGGACCGTCGCCATCCCCCAGCCTCGCCAGAGGTCGAGGTCTGAGAGTGACACCTCCTGCACTGGGAAGGACAGCGTCATCGAGCCCTACGCCACCACCTCGGAGCAGCAGCTTCGGTAGGGACGGTGTCACTGGAGAAGCAGCCCGTCACAGTCGTGTGTGTGTGTGTGTGTGTGTGTGTGTGTTCACCACCGGTGTCAGTCCTAGCATTAAAGGAGACTGTCCTCTAGGGACACGAATGGCTTTAATCAAAATTTTCATCATGGTTGGGAGGCTGAAGGAGGAGGATCATGGCAAGTTGGAGGCCTGCCTAGGCTACGGAGTGAGTTTGAGGCCAACATGTCTCAAACAAATAAACAAACAAACAAGCAAAAACCTCCAAAACAAAAATAAATTTCTCCAGGGTGGATCTTGCTAAATGATGACACACTGGTGGTCACTTTCTCTTTTTCTTTCTTTCTTTCTTGCTTTCTTGCTTTCTTGCTTTCTTGCTTCCTTCCTTCCTTCCTTCCTTCCTTCTTTTTTTTCTTTCTCTTGTTGCAGTACTGGGGATTGAACACAGGGCTTTTGTACTGAGCTACATCCCTATCCCACCCCCATTTTTAAAAATTTTGAGCCAGGGTCTTACTTAATTGCTAAGTGCTTAAAGGAGTTAAATTGTTACTCTACTATATACTGTTACATTTACCTTTTTAGAAAGGGTTAATTTTAATATTCACCAAACAAACACAAGACACATTGTATATGTATACAGTGATAACTAAAAAAAAAAAAAAGACACATTGTATATGTATACAGTAATAACTAAAAAAAAAAATAACTAGAAAGAAAAGAGCATAGACCCAGGTGTGGTGGCACACCTGTAATCCCAGCATTTGGGAAACTGAGGCAGGAGGATGGCTGTGAGTTCAAGGGCAGCCTGGACTACATAGCAAAAGCCTGTCTGAAACCCCTCTCCCAAAAGAAAGAAATACCAAAAGAGGAGCTAGTGGGTGGTTGAAGCTTCTATGTATTTTATAATGTAGTATAATACTCTGTTGAGGGTGCTTAGAGGGAATGCATTGAATACCTGTGTCGATATCATGCTGGGTGTGGTGGCACACGCCTGTAATCCCAGCACTCTGAGAGGCTGAGGCAGGAGGATGGCAAGTTAGAGCCCAGCCTGCACAATTTAGCAATTTAGTGAGACCTCATGTCAACAAAAAAAGAGAGGGGAGTGCGAAGGGCGTGGCTCAGTGTGAAGGCCCTGGGTCCAATCCTCAGTACTGAAAAAAAAAGTCAAGTGTTAGGCCACTTGTTTCTGTTCTTTAATATTCGAACACAGGCCCAGCTGGCAGAGTGGAACAGGAAGAAGAATTTCTTTACCATCCTTTGAGGCGCTGGGCTACGGGGAAGAAGATGACGCTGAGACACAGGTGTCGAGCAGTGACAAGGAGCCAGAGGATGGCAGCACCTGGAAAGACAGAGGAGGCCCCCGGGACGCTGTGTACGCCATGCCACACAGAAGCCAGGTGAGGCCTGTGTCCCCCCGCGCCCTCCTTGGCGCCACTCCACTGAGAATAGCACAGAGCACCTGAGGAAGCGTTTCCTTTCCCTGTTCTTGTAGCTTCTGCTTTCAGGCTTTTTAGTGATGAGTTGATTGACTGATTGATCTGTTGGTGTCTGGCCTCATTTCTCTCTAGTTAGGCTAAAATTTAGACCTCATTTCTTTATCTGGCAAAATCAAGGCCTTCAAAGATGAAGGTCAACATTTCACGTTCTTGATGAGGATTTGTGTCCGAAGCTAGCCATCTGTCTTCCTCTGGACTCCAAAAGCTAATTTACCTATCACTTTTTTATATCAGTCTGTATGTTACGACCTTTCTTCAAACTCACACCTAACTAGAGGAATATTGTCATGTGTCTTTTGAGTGTGTGTGTGTGTGTGTGTGTGTGTGTGTGTGTTGAGACAGGATCTCACTGAGTAGTCCGGACTGGCCTTGAACTCACTATGCAACCAATACTGGCCTCATACCCAAAGACACCCTCCTGCCTCAGCCTGCCGAGTGCTGGCATCACAAGTGTGTGCCCTCTTGCCTAGCTGTCCTGTGTTCCTTCATAGTGCAGGTCTCTCTTCTGTGCCTTTGTCTTGGCTGAACTCTGTGCGGAGTTCTGGTTGTTACCCTGGTTCATTTGCAGGATTCGATGTACAGTGAGTTTGAAAGGGCCATGTGTCTCCAGGGCCAGCTGATATTTTTCCTCCAACTTTCTTTTGCTTGGTATTTTTGTGGTCAACATTTTCTTGTCCTTTAATTTCAACCTTTGTATGTCCTATGTTTACATGTTTCTTATAGATAGCATATCGTTTTTAAAAGTAAGTTTAAAGACCTATAATTTACATACCGTATGATTCAGTCATTGAAATGAAGTGTACAATTTAATGCCACATCTAGTTTTTGTTAACCTGGTTTGGCAATCTTTGGCTTTGTCTTTTAACCAGAGAATTTAATCCTTTTATAATATATATGTACATATATATGGATATGAGAAATTTAGGTGGGACATCTTCAGTTTTGCTCAGGATTGAACCCAGGGCCTTACACATGCTAGGCTAGTTTCCTACCACTGAACTACACGCCCAGCGCTCCTTTCTTTTTTTGGTCTTTTTGAGACAGGGTCTCACTCTGCAGTTCAGGCTGACCTTGAATTCACTTTGTGGCCCAGGCAGTCCTTGAACTCACAGCGATCTTCCTACCACAGCCTCCCAAGTGCTGAGATTATAGGTGTGTGCCCCCCTGCCTGGCCATCCTTTCTTTTTTTAGATTGAAATTATTTCAATTGTTCTATTTTTTTCCCTCTATGACTTTGGAAATGATAATGTTTTCACTCTGGTGCTCACCCTAAAGGTGACGGACAGCACACGTGTCCTTTGCTCTTTCCCATCTAAGTTAGTGTCCTGGCCCGGAAGTGGGTGAAGGTGCTAACCAGGAGCTGCAGGCAGGAGGAAAGGGCCCTGCTATCCCTGTCAGCCACGGGGCAGGGTTAGTCTGCAGTTTCCTTCCTTTCTTCAACACCCAAGCAAGTTTTGTTTTAGTTACCAAAAGTATTATCACAACCAGAAGTATTGGAGAATTTTTTAAAAATGTTCCAAGGTAAACCTTTTAGAGTATGTTTGTAGAATAGTATCATCAGTTCTTTATGAAGATATGTTTTTAATAAACTTATTTGTTGATACATTAAATAGGCATAAAAAGTACAGAAATCATAAGTGTACAGCTCCACATACTCTTTCACAAAGTAGCCACCCTGAGATTCTTCTAAACAGTGAAAAAGGGGTTGGAGCTGCTCAGTTTCAGAGTACAGTGCCTGCTTAGCATGCATGAGGCCCTAAGCTTAATCCTCAGCACCACAAGTACACAAAAAAGACACTCAGAAGAACATACCTCAGCTGGATGTGGTAATGCACACAGCTGCAATCCCAGCACACAGGAGGCTGAGGCAGGAGGATTGCTGCAAGTTCGAGGCCAACTTGAACTACAAAGTGAGACCCTGTCTCAGAAAACAAAACAAAACAAAAAAACCAGCATCACTAGTATCCCAGGATTCCAGAGGTCCTCCTTCTCAGTGACCACTTCCCCAGACTTCACCATTGCCCTAACTCCAATTAGATCTTTAAAATCATGTGAGTTAGGGCTGGAGATCAGGGAGGTCCTGGGTTCAGTCCCCGGCACTGAAGGAAAATAGTCTTGCGTTTGGTTTTGCCAACTCTGAAAGTTGCATGAATCTTCACCGTGCGGTGCTTTGAAGTCTTCCTTATCGTGGGTAGCAGCAGTTGTTTCATTCTTATTGCTTTCCAGCTGTGCCTGGTGTAACCAGCCGGTTGGTTATTTATCCACCGTGCTGGTTTGGTTGTTTTTAGTTTTGGGCTCTCGGCATAGTGCTGGTGTGAACATTTGCAGATGCGTCCTTGGACACACATATGTCTCTGCTTCCTGCCTGAGTGCATGGTTAGGCATCGATCAGCTGTAGTGTAGGGGATATTCCCAGACAGCTTGCTGGCCGGGTATCTTTCTGATGCTATTAGTGCTCTTCTAATTTCACGTTTCCTTGATCTGAGTAGGTAGCTTAGTATATCTTGGGCAGGTTCATCCCAGGGAGCTAAAACGCAAGCAGTGTGCTAAGGGTGGTGACTGATGCCTGGAATCCCAGCTCCTCAGGAGTCTGAGGCAGGAGGATCACGATTTTGAAGCCAGCCTGGACAACTCAGTGACTCTGTCTCAAAATAAAGTGAAAAGGGCTGGGGATGTAGCTCAGTGGTAGAGCACTTGCATACCAGGTGGGAGGCCCTGTGTTCAATCCTGACACCACAGTCATGCACACAGACACACACACACACACACACACACACACACACACACACGCCTTCAAATGCTGAGCCAGGCCACCTGGGAGCCACGTGCACAAAGCTGTGGACCCAGCAGCCTCGGCTCTGAGCTCTGAAGTGCCGCTTCTTACGGCATCTTATGGCTGCCACCACCTCCCCGCCAGCCTTCAGCCCAGCTGCCAGGCTGGTCACCGCAGGAGTTCACTGCAGCATCTGGTAGCAGAAGGACAGCTGAACTGTGGAGCTCGCTTCCGGCTCTTCTTCTTGGGCAGCCCCTGTCCCTGTCCCTGTCCCCCAGAGCCCTGCCAGGGGGAATGTCCCTTCCAGGGCACAGGCCTCTAACGGACAGCTCTGTGGCCCTGCCGCTTTCAGTATCCACATAGATGCCCATTGTAGCAGTGGAAGGAAGAGTTCCATTCCAACAGTGGAATCGGGTCAGCGGCCATCGTGAGCCTCAGTCCTGAACTGTTCCCCGGGTGACCTGGGTGAGAGTCCCCAGGCAGGTCTGCAGTCCTGTCCCGCAGGGAAATGAGTATCAGTGCAGGGGTGGGGGTGGGGTGGGGCAGGATGGCATTGGGTGCTGTGCCAGCGGGCCGGGGCAGCCCATTCCTGGCCGCTTTCTGGCAGGGGTGGGGAGGAGCACTGTCCCTGGGCCTGGGTGGGACATCACCCCCACGGCTCAGCATCACATGGATTCCTTGGCTCCCCACACTTTTCCCGAGGCTCAGAGGCATCACGGGGCCCCAGGGGTAGCCCTTTTGGTCTCAGGAAGGAAAGCGGCAGGGGTGTTCCAGTGTAAAATAAGATACTGCACTTTGATAGGGGACATATTATGCAAGTAACCCATGTCCCGTGTTCGCTCCTTCGTCTTTTGTAACAAAAAGGTGCCGTTGTCACATGAAGCCGACAGTGAAGAAGATGAAAATATTTCTGAGCAAGATGGGTTTCCAGGCTCCCCAGCTCTTACACCTCAACCTATGCAGCAAAAAGGTAAAAAAGAAAAAAAAAACCCACAAATTCTTCTGAGCCTGTCGGATACCAGTATTGGTGCTGTTTCACCCCCATACCATGTTCTGTGGTCTTACTGGGAATATACTTGAGATTTACTTTCACTGGCTATCAGGTTACCTTTGACGTGGAAGTTGCCAGCCCCTGGGCTGTGAGAGGACAGATGGGGCAGTGTCCTGGCCAGACTGTGACTTCTGTCCTCTGCTGCCCGGGTGCACAGGTGAGGTCCCCCCAGTCCCCAGGCCCTCTCCCCCACCCAGGACCCTGAGCAGGGCCTGGCCACTTGGGCCGGCAGTGAAGGGTCGCTGAATGAATGAGTGCACATGTGAATCTAAAACTGCGTATCAGCTGTCTCCATCCAGTACGTGTTATTCAGCACAGTGGGAGAGTTTGGTGTGTTACAGCGAAGGTAGGGTCAGTTTCGAGGTTCCTCAAAGGTGGGTTATATTTGGAAGCAAAGAGGAGAGCTGCCATACAGCAGGCCACTGGGGACGGTTTCATCAGGACCGTCGCAGCTGCCTGGGCTCTGGGACACTTTTTCAGAAATCAGTTCGCAAGGTGCCTAAGGGGAAAGCAGAAAGCTAGCCTAGTAGCACCTGGACCAGAAAACTGCTCTTCCTTCGTGTCTTAGTTTTCTCATTGCTGAGACAAAATACCCTATACCCAAAGTTAGAGGAGGAAAGCTTTATTTAGCTCACCATTTTTAGAGGCTTTAGTCTATATTCAGCTGGCTCCAAGGCAGGGTGGCATATGGCAAAGGGGCATCACAGGGGAGAAACAGTTCATGGCAGGCAGAAGGCAGCAAAAGCAGCAAGCAGGCGTGATGGCATCAGCCGTCTTTCTGCCCCTTGTATTCTATCCAGGCTACCCACACTCATGCCCGGAGTGGGGCACCCTTAATCCTAGCATCACACTGTGAATCAATCCCAGCATCGCATCCTTAATCCCAGCATCACACACTCTAGATCCAGCCACCTCTGAAAAGCCCCACTTATGATGGCCTGAGGCTATGTGTATGGGGGGACATCTAGACATAAGCCATAACACTTAGCCTATATACCATGTATAGATATATGTGTGTGCATGACTGTGTGTATTTTTCTGATAGGAAGTCTTGCCCTGTTGCTCAGGCAGACCCTAAAGTCCTGGACTCAGTGATCCTCCTGCATCAGCCTGCTGAGTAGCTAAAATTACAGGTGTGTGCTACTATACCTGCCTGTGTACACTTTAAAATATTGACTAGTATTAATAAATTAATAAAAATATTAAATTCACATAAAAAGCATATTTTTAAATTATAGAAGTAGTTTTTTTCCCATTGTTAAAAAGACTTAGGTCTGGTAATCACAGTTACTCAGGAGGCTGATGCAGGAGGATCTCAAGTTCAAGGCCAGCTTGGGCAGCTGAGCAAAATCCTGTGTCAAAATAAAAAGGGCTAGGGATGAAGCTCAGTGAGTGGGCCTGGGTTCCACTTCCAGTGCCAGGGTGGGGGTGGGGGAAGTGGGTATCCAGAACGGAAATGGATACAGCCAAACACACATAAATGTCCTTAGGACATTACTTTAAACCCGTTATAGTGTATACATATTTATAAATTCACGCCATTTCGTTACCTGCCTTTTCATCTCACATCGCCCCCTGAGTATCTTCCGCGTCTGTCCGTGTGGCCCTCTCTGTCCTTTCTGACATCTGTGGTGTGTGGCCTGGTGTGCCCTACGCCACCCAGGATCCAGTCAGGAGACAGCTGAGGAGAAGCAAGGGAGGGTTCGGTTAGCAGGACTGCCTGCGAGGCGCTGCAGAAGGATTCTGGGGGGGGGGGGGGTACAGAGCACAGCCTCACAGCGCCCTAGGAAGAAGCCGCAGAGGGCGTGGCTGGGGCCGGCGCGGAGGGTTACAGAGGTGGCTGTCTGAGGTGGGGTACACCTGGCTGCCCCACCCGCCCAAACAGTGGAAGGAAATCTGTGGGACCCGGTCAGGAAGAAAATCTCCCTCCCCTGTGCCTCTCTGGCGCCCTCTCCTGATAGAGCTCAGGATGACGCCCTCTGCAAGGTGGCAGTGGGAATGGGGAGTCGAGACTGACTCTGCCTACTGGGGAGCCTCAGCAGGGGCACAGGTGCTCGTTGGCGGGGATCGCAGCTCCCGCAGTGGAGCTCGGTTTGTGGTGGGCACACAAAGCCCCTGGACACTCGCGGGAAAGCCCCACAGCTCAGATTCTAATTCAGTGGCTCTGAGTGGGCCCAGAGGCTTGTGGCTGTAACAGATACTTCGGGGAGGCTGAGGCGTGTGAGCCGTGGACAGTTGATCCAGAGCGCTGGCTCTTAGCGTTTTGCTTCTCAGCTGCATTTCCAGTGGGAAGAGGCTAGGCAAAGTCACATGACCGCTCCTCTACTCAGCCCTCCTAAAGGGTCAGTTCCCTCAGGGCTGTAAAACTCCGCCTCTTCCGTCCACACTAGCGATACTTAGCGTCTCTCCCGAAAGTCTTGATGTCCTGATCTCTCACTCTCCACTCCGGTGAGATCCCTGCCGGCAAGACCCGATGCCTGTCTTGTTTTTTGCTTGTTTGTTAGTCTGTTTTTTAAATTGAACCTGTAAGGAAATTCCCTATTCCTAACACTTTCTGTAGAATTTTTACATCTGGATTCATGAGTGAAAATGAAAAAGTAATTTTCCTTTCTTGGACGATCACTGTTGTACCTTGTTGTAGTAAGGTCTGTCAACCTCGTTAAATTAATTAGGCAGCGTTCGCTCCCCTGCTCTGTGGTGCTGGACATGGAACCCAGGTCTCACACAGGCTGGGCCAGCGCCTGCCCCGGAGCTGTGCAGCCCTGCCCAAGACTTGAGGGCCTGTGTGAAGGTCCTGGGTCCCTCGGTCAGAGCGGCCAGTGTCTTGCTGGGACCCATCGTTTCCACGTCCTAGATGTTCCCGCCCCCGATACTGGGGATTGAACCAGGGCCTTTGCACTGAGCTACACCCCCAGCTCTTTTTCAATTATTATTTTTTTGGGCAGGGTATCTCTAAGTCAGTAAGTTCGCCAGGCTGGGCTTGAAGTTGCAGTGCGCCTGCCTCAGCCTCCCGGATGCTGGGATTGCAGGCCTGTGCCTCCACGCCCAGTTCCCTCCCCTGGGTTGTTTGCAGACCTTCTGCCCCATCGCTGTTCTCTGACGCCGGGCTCCGCCCACCAGCGCTTTCTCCTTCTCCCCTTTAGTACCCGCAGGTGTCCAGTCACCTCTCTCTCCACACATCTCCCGTTTCCCCTTCTCCTCCAACACCCGGCTTTGCGCTGGCTTCTCCCCAAGGTTCCCTCGGACCAAAGACTTCGGGTCTCGGCCCCGCCTTGTGTGGCCTCAGGAGCATTGTGTGTGGCTGACCCTCAGGCCGCGCTCCTACACGTCTCCGGCTCCGTGACGTCTCGCCCTCGCCGCTCCTCTTTCTCTCCTGTCCCGTCAACGTTGCCTTCTCCAGGGCTCAGCCGCGGCCCTTTGCCCTTGCGAGCTCTGGTGCCCTGCCCGCCCGCTTCACGCCCCATTTGGTGTGCGCCTCACTCCCGACGCCGTGGAACCAGCTGCTACAGTTTGATTCTGCTCCTTTTCCCACTCCACCAGCAGACACTTGGATACAGAGGAGTGCCCACCCTGTGCCTACCATGGCAGCAGCCAGAGGAGTCCTTTCAAAACAGGAACCTGGTAGTACCCCCTCAGCCCATGCATCCTACTGCCCCAGGCAGCGCTGGCCCCGACTGACCATTCTGCACCCATTCTTATGTTCGTGAGGGTCCCTCCTGCCACTGGATCTTTGCACATGCCATTCTCACTCCCACCATCTAACATTTCCTGTATGTAGACTTGTGAAAGGGGGTGGGAGGTGGGGCTGTGTCTGACTTTTATACATTCAAATAGCTCTGAAAGGAAACATGCCGAGTTGATAGCCATTGTTACATACAGGTAGGGGAAAGGCTCCGGGGACCACCCTCATGGCAGACTTCTGATTTATCTGTATTATTAGAATTTGTGTTTGTATACTGTGAATTTAATTTCTCTAAAGTTTGGGATGATGTCTAGGGTGGCATCTCATATGCAGTGGGATGTCCCAGTAGGAGGCTGTGTCATTTTAGGTATGTGTACCCCTTACCCAGATGGGTAATAGAAGTGAGAAGGGCAGGGACTCGGGGAAGCTTTTTGAGAAATGTTAGACGAGAAGCAGGATATAAAACGAATACACAGAGCCAGCTGAACTGCGTGCACATTAAGTACCAAAGTGAACCTGGGGTGACATAGATTCAGTCTCCTCTTCATGGGGTTCTTTTCCTGAAAACTCGATGGCTAAGATGCAATAGACATCTTTATTTTGTTTGGGAAAATGCATAAATTTCCCTTTAAAACATTTTATTATGATAATTTTGAACACATACAAAAGTAAGAGACTATAAAATGAACTCCCACCTCCCGTCGGTCAGCTCCCACACCTGCAGCATTTGGCCATTCTTCTAACCCCCTGCCCACCCTCATCTTTACTTGGTGAAGAGTTTAAGGGGGACCTAGGAGATTCCATGAGTCAGTAGGACCCGATGTAGCACAGGAAGTTACAGGGTCTCATTATGAGCCCTCTGCTGGCCTCAAACTTGTAATCCTCCTGCCTCAGCCTCTCCAGGGTTGGAATGACAAGCATGTGCCACCATGCCTGGCTTCCATCAAAACTATTTTAAAAGTGTTATTAAAAATATAACTTTTTAGGGCTGGGTGCTGTGGCACATGCCTGTAATTCTGGCACTCTGGAGCTGAGGTTGAATTGTAAGTTTGAGACCAGCTTGAGCTTGAGTTTGAGGCCATACTGAGCTACATAGCAACACCCTATATCAAAAAACAATATATATATATATTCCCCCTCTCCTGTATAACTTTAAAGATATGCTCATTATAAATTTATTGGGGAGGCTGTGCAGATTGCAGACTGCAGTCAGGGATGCTGAGGTGGGCAGGGGAGGGGCGAGAGTTCCAGAAGGCAGCCTGGTTCCGGAAGGCAAGGGGGTTCCCCTCAGCTGGGCCTCTGGTGGGCAGAACAAGGTCTTAGCAAACCACCAGAGGATGCTGGCAGCCAAGGCTGCCCCAGGACATTTGCTTGAATGCAGTTTGATTAAATACTACTGATGAGAAGCCGGGTGTGGTGGTGTACATCTGAAGTCCCAGCACTTGGGAAGCTGAGGCAGGAGGATCGCTGTGAGTTTGAGACCAGCCTGGGCTATATATTGAGGAATCAGCCCGGGCCCCTTTGGAGGACAGGAGGAAGTTGTGGGTGGTTGGAGAGGTGGGGAGGAGCCAGTGGGGAAGGGTAGCTTGGAGGGGCTTGAATCTGTGATCCTTGGAGCCCTCAAAGGTGTCTGGGAGAAAGCATGGTAGATGGAGATGCCTGGTCCTGGGACCTACTTGTGTGGCCTTGCAAAATCAGTTCCTGCTAGATCCTTGCTCGGGCCGTCCGTGAGAGGTGAGTTTCTGTGACTGTACTCTTCTGATTTCTCAAATTTCTTACCTACTTCTAAAAACTTTTTTTGTTTGTTTGTTTTTAATCAGATGAAAAATACTCTGTTGTGAATTTAAAGGTAAGTTCATATTTGGAAAAAAAACTCCCATATTCTCAATAAATTGAATTTCCGCCATAAGTTTTAAATACTCTGGTGATTTGTAGGGGAAAAAAATCTTCCCGTAAAAGTTATTTCCTGAAGCAAGGTGCGTGGTGGTGCATGCCTACTTATGAGGCTGAGGCAGGAGGATTGCTGTGAGTTTGAGGGCAGCGTGGGCTACATAGTGAGATCCTGTCTCCAAAAAAGAAAGAGTCTTCTGATGAATATTTCACTGAAATACTTTTACTGAGGAAACTCATATTTTCCATAATTTAGTAATGAAAGTAATGTACTGGGAAGTTAGAAATCATGTCATGTGTAGAATGAAAGGGCAGTTTCAATAACTAATTTGCTAACAAGGAAATTCGAGTAGGTTTTACTTGTGCGATGTAGGAAAGTAAAAATCAAACATTTCTCAGTAGAGTTAATTAATAACTTTATCTCCTTTTCAGCAGAAATAAAAACTTAATATCACACCAATATAGTATAGAAAACATAACCAAAGTTTAAAGCCTTCCCTTTTCAGTTTTGAACTAAGGTCATATTATCTTTTCTTTTTCCTCAACATTTTGAAAACATGCTTTGCTGCAGCTGACAAAGTCCTTTTTTAAAATTTTTTTTTTATTTTTTTGTGGTTTGGTTTTTTTTTCCGGTACCGGGAATTGAACTCACGACCTTGCGCTTGCCAGGCAGGCGCTGTGCCGCTGAGCTAAATCCCCAGCCCCATCCTTTTTCTTTAGTGTTGGGGCTTGAACCCAGGGCCTTCACACTGAGCTACACCCCGAGCCCTTTTATATTTTCTTATTTTGTGATAGGGTCTGGCTAAGTGGCTGTGTTATCCAGACTGGACCCCAAACTGCCACCCTCCTGCCTCAGCCTCCCAAAGTACAGTGCGTCACCACTCCTGGATGGTTGGTGTTTTCATAGCCCAGGGAGAGGGTCCTGTTTGTGCATCTGTGCTGCGTCTTCACAGGCACATTGCAGGCTCGTGAAAGTGAATTGAGTGACCACCTGTCACTTGCTGGAGCTGCACATTGTGATACAATCGCTGAACCCTGCAAAAGATGAAGAGTCAGGCAGGACGCTCTGTAAAGTTTAGGATTCAGTTCTACGAAACCTGCTGGGTGTGGTGGTGCAGACCTATAATCCTAGCACTCTGGGAGGCTGAGGCAGGAGGGTCACGAGTTCAAGCACAGCCTGGGCAACTTAGTGATTTAGCAAGACTGTCTCAGAGTCAAAAAATAAAAAGAGGCTGTGGATGCAGCTCCGTGTGAAGGGTTCAGTCCCCAGTACAACAAAACAAAGATTAAAGTTCCTAAAGCTAAATAAACTGAGAAAGAACCACAGGAGCCAACGTGCAGCGGGAAAGTGTGCTTGGCCACCTGGTGTCTAACGCCCTGGGCTTCGTCTGCCCACGCTGAGGATGCGCTCACTCGCTGTGCTCACGCTGTGCTGTTTCTTCCCTAGGGGGAGAGGACGCCGTTACGTGAGAAGCCACCTCCCTCCCCAGGTACTGGCCTTTTGAGTTCCTTCTGTGTGAAAAGCCTCACCGGAAGTAAATTTCAGATTTCCTTTCCCTAGAAAGTCTGTCGTTTCTGCCCGACTCTTGGCCTTGGGCAGTGGTGTTTGTCAGTTGTTGAGCTTCTGCCTTTGCCTCTGGAAGGAGTGTCCCAACACTGGGTGTCTTGGTTACTTTCCTCATCCTGGGCCAAAACACCTTCCACCTGCAGCTTGAAGGAGGAGAGACTTATTTTGGCTCATGTTTCAGGCCATAGTTGGCTGGTTCTGAGCGGCAGGGCAGAGGAGGGAGCGAGACAGGAGGAGCAGAAGAGGGCGATAAACCTTCCCAGACCTCAGCCCAGTGACCCGCCTCTCTGAACAGTGCATTTAGTTCTGCACTCACTAGGGGACCAGTCCACCCATGCATATAGCACCCACAGAATCCATTCACCTTCCAACAGTCCCACCTAGGCTGGCATGAGGCTTCAGGGGACAGCTAGATATAGACCGTAACATAGGGCCTGGGGTGGGGTGAGTGTGGGGTGTACTCAGCTCCCAGGGAGTTGGTATATGCAGATGCAGGCTCTGCTCTGGGGCAGATACCTTACAGGCTGTGTTACCTGCACGTCTGGAGAGCACCAGTAGCTTTCAAGGTGCCTTTTGTGATTGGCGGCTGGTATGACTTGCACCACTGGTCTGAAAACCCAGTTTTCATCTGTCCTTCATGTCGGGTTGACTCTGTTCACCCTTTCAGTCTTGAAGCTTTTGCTGCTGTATTCTGGGAGGGTGCTGGGGCTCTACCTTCCAGCCCACTTGGAAGTTTCTGTTCAGCCCATCCTTTGAATTTATGTTAATCGTAATGATTTGTCCAAGAGACTAACGTCTGAACATTGTTTTTTTCTTGTCATACTGGGGATTGAGTATATTGAGTTTTTTTCTTGCCATACCAGGGCGTTGGCATTGAGCTACATCTGCATCCAGTTTTATTTTTTGAGACAAAGTCTAAGTTCCTCAGGCTGGGCTCAAACCTGAGTTCCTTCTGCCTCAGCCTCCCAGAGTGCTGGGATTGCAGGCCTGTGCCATCACACCTGGCTTCTTCTGAGAACCTTAACTACTCTATATTCATCCATTCCTTTACCTGTGCTGCATTCCACCTCCCCTCTTCTCTCTTGTTTGACTTTGGTGGTTCTCGTGGCTGGGATACTTGATGGTCATGGTGGTCCGCAAGAGTCCCTGTTGGCTTGTCTGGAGATGCTTGTCTCTACTCAGGCTGCTTGACCAGGGGAAACCCAGGGGCTGCCAGGTGTGTAGTCTGTTGCCATGGGGATGGGCAGGCTGTGTGGCCAGTGGGTGGTGTGGAAGCCATTTTTCCTCCTGGGTTTCTTTTTTTTTGTCTTTTTGAGACAGGGTCTCACTATGCAGTTCAGGCTGGCCTTGAGCTCACTTTGTAGCCCAGGCTGGTCTCGAACTCACAATGATCCTCCTGCATCAGCCTCCCGATGATCCTCCTGCATCACCCCAGGGCCTGGGTAGCCCTGCCTCCCTCCACCACCTCACTTCCTGCCACCCACCATGGCCTCCCCAGACCACAGGCCTCTTCCTGCATGGCCATTCCCTTCCCAGGGACCAAGAATGCAGCACCAGGCCTGACGTGAAATAGTTGCTCACATAGATTTGGGAATAAAGTCTCTTGTCTTTTTGATGTAAAACGGTACACATCGATACTTGTTAAGCTTTTTCCTTGTACTTTTTCAGATGTAACTGGTAGAAAACGTCAGAGATGTATAGAAATAACCAAAGAAAAGTTTGAGGAGTTAAAAGAAGAAAATTTGCACCTAGGCAGTGCAAATCAAGCTCTTGTGCTTGAACTGAATGTAGTAAAACAAGAAATGAAAAAATTACAGTTAAAACTTAAAAGGATGGGACAAGACGACGGGAAGCTGAAAGAGGCTGAGAAAACATCCTCTCAGGAAGGTGGGGTTGAGTACCTGGTTCTTTTATTAAAGGGTTAATAAAAATGACTTCACTTTATTGTATATTTTCAGAGTTAATATTTCATGTAGTATATTTATTGATATTTATGTGGATATTTTACCACATATATTTTTTGGCTTTTTGGTTCTTTTTTATGTGGATATTATATCTCACAATTTTTTTTTTGAGACAGGGTCTCACTATGCAGTTCAGTGTGGTCTTGAACTCACTGTGTAGCCCTGGCTGCCTTGAACTTGTGCAATCCTCAGCCACCAAGTGCTGAGATTACAGGCGTGTGCCACCATGCCTGGCATTAACTCATACATGTTCCACTCATAAATTTGCCTACTTTAACTTGAAGTACATTGCTTTTTCTTGACTTGTAGGAGGTCTTTATGTGTTAATGATTTTAGCCTTTTGTCATACATATTTTTTCTTAGTTTGTTGGTAATTCAACTCAATGTCAATAATGTTTTCCATTTATGATACATACCCTGGGCATCAAGTCCTTATCCTAAGGTTACATAAATTTTCACTAATATTTTTTCACTAATTTTTTTCACTAAGATATTTGCACTAATATTTATATGGGGTGAATATTATGGCCGTAAGTCAAGTGGTTTGTTTTTTTGCAAACAGAACCTGCAGGGCTGGGGATTTAGCTCAGCGGCAAAAGCGCCTGCCTGGCAAGCGCAAGGTTGTGAGTTCGGTTCCCGGTACCGGAGAAAAACCAAAAAAAAACAAAAAATCAAAAACAGAACCTGCATATTGCATGTCTTAGGCACATTTATCTCTGGGTAGTTCCTTTGTGTTGTCATTTTGTGGGATCTATTTTCCATCATGTTTTCTGATGGAACATTGCTGTTACGTGAGAGAGTTTTTTTTGAACAATTTTTCATTTATTTGATGTACTTTTCAAGACACAAATATATCATCTGAAACGATTGTTTCTTTCCAATTTAGAATTACTATTTTGCACTATTGTAAACATAAACTTCCAAAACAGTGTTGACTGGTGTTAAAAGCTTCCTAACTTTTCATTCATTTATACTATAGATATACAAAACTTGCCATCTCCTGTAACAAAAGACAGATGATGAGCAACGTATATAAACTCTTGATAAGTGTTACAGAGTTTATGACAGCATAATGTTGCATGGGTTTTTCTTTCAGGAGTTGCTGTACCTGAATTACTTCATCTCAGGAAACAAGCCCAAGAGCTGGTGGATGAAAACGATGGTTTGAAAATGACCGTCCATCGTTTGAATGTAGAACTGAGTCGATACCAAACAAAATTCAGGCATCTGTCCGAGGAAGAGGTAATGTTCCTAATTACAAAACGGCAGACTTTTTTCTAGACTTTACTGTTGAACTGACTTCTGATTCCAATGGGTTCTTATTTATTATACTTTAGTATAAAATACATTCAGAGCACCTCCTTCCTGCCTTGCCCCATCATCAAGGCAGTGAAGACCTTTGGTGAGACACTGGGCCAGTGCAGAAGTGTGCAGAGCACAGGGGCCGAGAGTGCGCCTCGGGGGTGGAGCACGGGCCTGTCACATGCGAGGCTCTGACTTCCGGCCCTGACACTTCAAACAGTAAGGAAAAAAGTTGACTCTAGATTTGAAATGGGACCCTGGACTGGATCCCTGATTGGAAAAGGACATTAGTGGGAAAATTAAGGAAACGGAAGATAGTCTGTATGTTTGAAAATAACATTGTATCAATTTTGATTTCCTCCTTTTTATGATGGTACTGTTGCTAGATATATGAGTGCTTTTGTTTTTAGGAAATACACACTAAAGTATCTAGAGGAAAATGGGCACTGCTCTAGATCATTTCAGAAATAACTTTTCTTACACACACGCACACACACACAGATAAGTGATGCCTCGTCTAACTTAAGAATATCTAAAACACCATGTGCTTGTAATCCCAGCTACTTTTGAGGCTGAGGCAGGAGAATCTTGACTTTGAGGACAGCTAGGGCAATTTATCAAGACCCAGTCTCAAAATAAAAAGATCTGGGAATGTAGCTCAGTGTAAAGGCAGTGGCTTGAATCCTCAGTGTCCCTATCACAAGCTACCTTCCCCCAGAAGACTAAGACTTGCTATTTGAGAGGAAGTGTAGTTTATTTTGTCTCCAATCTGTTTTTTCCTTAGAGTTTCCATACTGAAGGCCTCCCATCAAAGGGCCCTATACCACCCTGGTTGGTAAGTGAAAATGATTTAATTTCAGTCCCCTATTCTCTCAGCTCTGTTTGTACAGCTACTAAGAACCCTTCCAAAATAAGTGGGTGTTTTGACTTTTTAAAAATCTGCTGATTGAGGCTAGGCTATATCTCAGTGGCACAGCGCCTACCAGGCAAGCAAAAGGCCCTGAGTTCAGTTCCCAATACCACACCCCCAAATTGCTGATTGCATTTAGATGTAGGAAATACGTTAACATCCTCTACTGCACTGCATGTTTTACTGTAACCTTCAGTTGGATGTGAAGTCCCTGTGCCCATTACTGCTGGCTTATGAAGACAGAATGAAAGAGAAGGACGAGCTCAATGCTGCCCTGGAGGTAGGTTGGCAGATGTCTCAGGAGAGACAAGATTGATGAGCCAGTTTCCAACTTTGCATAAAGGTTTTGAAGGTAAATATGCCCAACAAATGGCAGCTACTGCTACTGCAGTGTTTGTTAAAGGAAGGAGGTGGAAAGGAAGGTGTAGGCAGTGGGGGAGGGAAAGCAGGGTGGAGGGAAGGCAAAGTGGGAAGGAGAGAAGGACGGAAGCCAGGGATTGATTGGCAGAGACGGGGGGTAGGGAGAGAGGGAGGGGTGTGGAGGGCAGGGTGGTGCTCCATTGGGAGCCATGGTTTCCTGGATGGGGAGCCCCATGTAGGCTGGGATTGTGGGGTACACAGAAGGTAGCAGTGGGGAGGCACTGAATTCCTGGGATTCCACAGCTGCAAACATCACCATTAGAAGGGACTTTTGGGGCCAGTGTGGTTGCATATCCCTGTAATCCCAGCTACTTAGGAGGCTGAGGTAGAAAAGTCAGTTTAAGGCCAGGCTGAGCATGAGCAACTTAGCATGATCCTGTCTCAAAATAAATACAAAGGGTTGGGCGTGAAGTTCTGTCTTAGTTACTTTTCTCGCTGCTGAGACAAAATACCCGACACCCAAAGTTGAAGGAGGAAAGGTTTATTTAGCTCACAGTTTATGCACATTTCAGTCCATAATCAGCTGGCTCAAGGCAGGGTGGTGTGGCAGAGGGGCAACTGTTCATGGTGGCAGAAGACAGCAAAAGCAGCAAGAGCCACGGGGGAAGCAAGCCTGTTTTCCTCCTTTACATAGTGTGGAGGCTATCTGTGCTAGGGTGGGTGTAGCACTCATGCCCCAACCCCAGCACTAGACAATGAACCAATCACAAACTCTAATTCAGCCACCTCCCCAAAGCAGCGCCCCCGTGAGGCTTTGAGGGGACGTGCAGACACAAACCATACCTCAGTGTTAAAATGCCCCTGGGCTTGATCCGTAGTACTGTGCCCTGCATTGATCCTAATAATAAAATTGCTATTTTGATGCTTTTTCTTTCTTGCTTTTTTTTTTTTTTTTTATTAGAACTCTAACAAAGAATCCCCCATTTAAAAATGCACAACATCCCTAACCCTTTACATTTTAAATTTTAAGTCAGGGTCTCACTAAGTCACGAAGTTACCCAAGCTGAGAAACTAACAGTCCTTTTGCTTCAG